CCAGCTTCAGCCGTTTCCAGCATTAGCCGTGACATATATTTATTTAATTTTTAATTTACATAATAGCAAGAATTAGTAAATAAAGGCATCCCATCAGCTATGCTATATGCATCCTCTGAACAACTATATAATGTTCAAAAAGCAATCTTTTCTGAAATTGCTTCAGGATTTATACGAATTTTACTTGTTACACCAAAAAAATATATTAAAAATCAAGCATTTGCTTGTATATTACAAAATATTGTATATAATTGTAGATTACAATTCATTGTTGATGAGGCTCACTGTATAAATAACTATGCTTATTTTCGGTAAGTTTATATCAAGCAAAATATATAATGTAATTTTTGATATATATGTAGTGCACTTTATAGAATAAATCTTTTAGATTCAAAGAATTTGATTTTGTATAAACAATAAAACATATAAAAATTTAAAATTACTAAAAAAATTAAAATTTTATTAGAAATGATTAGACTAAATTAAGTTTACTCAAGCAAAACTTTCCTTCTTCTCTAATTCTTTTTCTTATAGCCACCTGTAGCAAAGATAATATTCAAAAAATAACTGATAGTCTTGGATTGCCAGATTTAAAAATATTTCGAAATCCTACAATATATCGATTTGAAATTAGATTTGAAGTTTTAAATAAATCAGTACAAAAAGAAAACCAATCAAAAATATTAATAGATCTTATAAATTCAATTTTTCCAGGTAGATGTATAGTTTATTCTGCAACTATTAATGATTGTGATGCTTTTTATAATATTATTATAAAGTATTATAGATCAAATATTATTGAAAAGTATCATGGATTTATGCCAAGCAAAGATCAAAATAGGAATTTAGAATATTAGAAAAGTAATAAGTTTAAATTAATTTGTGCAACAAATACATTTGGAATGGGTTTAAATGTAAGTGATATATGTGCGGTTATTCATACCACTTTTCTAATGTCTATTGATACATTGGTTCAAGAAGCAGGACATGCAGGTTAGAATGGAGCAATAGCAAAAAATATTATTATATATTCAAGTTTAGATATTTGTACATTGTTATTAATTATCTCACAAGGTTGTCCAAGGTAAAAAAATATATATTATATAGTTTAATACACTTGACTCTTACTAATAGCAACCCATTTAGATCACTTTTATATTCATGTTGATAGTGATATTAATGAGAGATTATAATAAAGTTGATATATATAAGGGAATTTGATATATAAAAATTTATAAAAATTTGTCTTGTTGCTTAGTTTGATATTAACATAGATTAATGTTAACGAGGGTCAAGTATATTTGTATCAAAGCTATCAGATTTTAGTAGCATTTAAAATAACACTAGTGAAATTATAACAACTACATTCTATAGACATATATAATTAAAGTAAAGTAAGATTTGGTTATGTAGTTGTCATAATATTACTAGTGTTATTTTAGATACTATTAAAATCTGTAGTTCTAATTTGTATGTAAAATATATTAACAATAACTATTATAGTAATGAAGAAACTTATCCAGTAGATAATAATTCTGTAGATATAATACAACGGTATGAATACTTACAAAAAAAATGAGATTCAATTTTAAGATGGCAATATATTGTGAATCAGTATATGAGTATCACCAGCAACAAGCTTATCAAAGTTTTTTGTGGCCTAATGATTCTCCAATTGTTGAATGTGGAAATTATGATAATTGTGACCATCGAATAAAGGATGATGCATGTTGGTATAATGTTGAAGCAGAAGTAAAACGAATAGTAAAGATTGTAGGCCAAGTAATGTCACTACAACAATCATTTGGTTCTTCTTGGCCTTATATAAAACTAGATAATATATTGGATGTATTTATAGGTTCTAAAAACCAAAATGCCAAAAA